GAGGAGCAAACGATGCCACGAACAAATCGGTGCCTGGAAAGTTTGTGACTTATTTATGCACCGGGCGCTTGGTTAAGATTTTCAACGCAACTCAGTTTGTAAAGGGGACTTGAGACTTCTGATCTAGATCAATATCTACAGGTAATTGATGCACACTGCTATTGTGGCTGTTTTAAAATATATATATATATATAGCTCTGATTTTTCCATTTGTGCGTAATAGTTTATTTATTTATTAGATTTTTTTTAAAGCTTGCTTTTACTACTTTGTAAGTAACTCAAGGTGGCAAACATACTTAATAGTTCTTCCTCCTCTTTTCCCCACAACAATCATTCTGGGAAGTGGGTTTGGCTAAGAGAGAGGGACTGGCCCAAAGTCACCCAGCTGGCTTTCACACCTAACGCAGGACTAGAACTCCCTGTCTTCTGGTGATCGATCCAAAGTCTCCCATATAGCGTTCTTGCCTAAGGCAGGACTAGAACTCACTTTCTCCTGGTCACCAAGGTAGTTCACATGTCTAAGATGAACTAGAAGTCACATCTCCTGGTGACTGGCCCCAAGTCACCCAGCTGGCTTGCATTAATAAGCCAGGATTAGAACTCACTGTCTCCTGGTCATTGGCCCAGTCACCCAGGCAGCTCACATGTTTAAGGTGGACTAGAACTCCCCGTCCCCTGATGACTGGCCCCAAGTCACCCAGCTGGCTTGCATGACTAAGTCAGGACTAGAACTCACTGTCTCCTGGTGATTGGTCCAAAGTCACCTGGCCAACCTTCACACCAAGGGCGGGTCTAAAATTCACCGTCTCCTGGTGATTGTCCCAAAGTCTCCCATATAGCTTTCATGCCTAAGGCAGAACTAGAACTCCCCGTCTCCTGGTGATTGGGCCAAAGTCACCCAGGCAGCTCAACATATTTAAGGTGGACTAGAACTCACCATCTCCTGGTGATTGGCCCAAAGTCACCCAGCCTGCTTTCATGCCTAAAGCGGGACTAGAACTCACCGTCTCCTGGTTTTTAGGCAATCACCTTCCCCACTAGGTAAAATATGGGCTTGATACAGTGTGCAACAGACGAATTGAAGAAGATGTGTGCGTATACACACACCAAGAGTAATAAACCTCTTAAAAAGATGCAGAATTGCACATACCGAGCAACTATTATGTTAATCAAGCATGTGCTAAACACGTATAAACAGATTTCCCGCCCTTCCAGCCTTTCCCCAGTTCGGTTGGGACTCATTCCCTAGCAAAATCCTGAACTTTGTGAAATTCCTAGGAAATCGGCAAGCTCACCTGGAGGGAACCAGATTGGAGAAGAGTAGCATGCAAATGTCCGGCATGTCAAGAGAGTATCTTAAGGATATAGTTGTTTACAGCAGCCTTGAGTTGGCTTAGAGATTTGGATGCCAAGTTTCTGTTCACAGGGTAAGGTTGCAGGACAGAGAAGCAAACGAAACAGTTCAGCAGAAACACATCCAAAATAGTCTACGGAGATTCTCAGTCATCCAGGTCATGGTTGTCCCAAAGGTGCTTTTTTTTTTTGTTTTTTTTCAAGAGGCCACTGGATTTTTCTGGATTTTTTTTTCTTTGAAGAGGTTTCACTTCTCATCTGAGAAGCTTCATCAGCTTCGAATAAATATCATCCCTTCTGATGAGCTGAAGAAGCTTCTCGGATGAGAAGTGAAACCTCTTCAAAGGAAAAAAAAACCCCAGAAAGTCCAGTGGCCTCTTGGAAAAACAAACAAACCAGCTTTGGGACATCCAAAATAGCTTACAAACCCACAACACCTTCCCCTCCCGCAACTCCCACAACTCCCAACAAGTTCTTCAGTGTGATGCAACTAAATCTCCTTTTACTGGTCTACAATAGAAAGCGTACTCACATATTGCATTACGGTGTAGTAATGCTGGCTTGACAGCCGTGGATAGAAAGACACTATAGAGCAGGGGTTGCCAACCTTTTGGACCTCAGGGACCACCAAACTCATAATTTTAAATCCCGCGGACCACTAACATGAATTTTGACTGACGGTGGCTTGCTGACGTTGGTGGGAAAGTCGGTCCCATATTCCAGAGCTGCAGGAGTCACAGGACTGGCCCTTTGGATATCCCGGAGCAGCTGCTCCTCCACCCAGGTGCACCGGCCTGCCATGGACTGGAGGAGCTGCTCCAGGATGACCCAAGGGCCAGTCCTGTGACTACTACAGCTCTGGAATATGGGACCGACTTTCCCACCGACGTCAGCAATCCACCCTGGAGCGGATTTTCCTCCCCTGCCGTTGGTCTTACCTTCCAGTTCCACCTCGTGTGGCTCTACTCAAGGTAAGGTTTGTGCTTGGCCGAAGGGTGGGGTCCAGCGGGTGGGAGGGCCATGTGGGCAGCGCAGCTTGTGTTCCTGCGCAGCCTGGGTTGCTTTGGGGGGGGGGACATTTCTCTGCGGGCCACCAAAATGTTGTCACAGACCACCAGTGGTCGTCGGCCCACCAGTTGGCGACCACTGCTACAGAGGGTGGTGAGCACAGAACCAAACATCGTGGGCTGTTCCAGTGGGGGGATTCAAATTTTTTTTACCATTGGTTCTGTGGGTGTGGCTTGGTGGGCGTGGCAGGGGAAGAATACTGCAACATCTCCATTCCGTCCCTACCCCGCTAACCTGCTTTCCAGCTCCGTTCTCCTGTACAGGGCAACCAAAGAAGACCCAGCCAATCAGCTGGGACTCAATGGGAGGCGGAGAAGAGATGGGGGCGGGGCCAGTCAGAGGCGGGATTTGCTGACTCTTTGAACTACTCAAAATTTCTGCTACTGGTTCTCCAGAACTGGTCAGAACCGGATGAATACCATCTCTGGGCTGTTCCCTGATACCACTCGCTAGGGCTCAGTGCCTTAGAAGAGCGAGGAAAATGCTCAGGGTCCACTCACACCCCGGTCAGCCCTTCTTCTCTCTCCTACCATCGGGAAGGCGATAGAGAAGCAGAGCCAGCCGCACCAACAGGCTGAAGAACAGTTTCTACCCGTGGGCTGTCAGACTCCTGAACGGAAAATAACTTCATGTCAACATAGTAGGATAGACTTGCGAGGCCGTTGCGTTGTGCAACAAGGTCACATAGTGTGATAAGGTTGGGACTGGGTGAGGGACTTCTGCCCTCACTGTGAGTTGTGTTACGGGGTGTGTGTATGAAGGGAGGCTCAGCCAATCTCATTGTACACAGGTTGTACTCTGACAATAAAGGCAATAATAATAAACTAATAAAAGCCACAAAAGCCTTATCACTTGGCCGAAACCAATCCTCTACAGGTGCAAAGGAGTCCTTGAGTTTTGACCACCATTGAGCCCAACTAAGTGAGACACTTGGGTAAGGGAATTTGTCCTCATTTTATGACCCATCTGGCCACTGGTGTTAAGTACATCTTTGCAGTTATTAAGTTAGCGACAGCGTTGTTAAGTGAATCTGGCTTCCCCATGGACTCTGCTCATCCGAAGGCCACAAAAGGGGATCATGTGACCCCAGGGGCACTGCAACCGTCGTAAATACGAGTCAGTTGCCAAGGGTCTGAATTTTGATCATGGGATCACGGGGATGCGGCAACGGTCATAAATGTGAAAAACAGTCATAAGTCCCTTTTTTTCAACTTTCCAGGGTCACTAAATGAAATGTTGTAAATTGAGGACTGCCCGTATTCCTCAACTTACAACCATTAATTTAGCGACTGTTCAAAGTTATAACAGTGCTTAAAAAAAGTGACTTTCAAGCAGTCCTCGCACTTACGGCCGTCACAGCATCCCCGTAGTACTGGGATCAACATTTGGGCACTTGGCAACTGCCTTCCGACAAGCCGTCAAAGGGAGAAGTCAGATTCATTCAATGACCGCATGACTCATTTAACAACTACAGATTCAATTAACAACGGGGGGAAGGTCAGAAAAGTGGGCAAAACTCACTGTTTCACTGAGTAACAGAAACATTGGATTTAATTGTGGTCGTAACTCAAGGACTACCTGTACATTCTTTATAATCCCTATTTCCAATGCAACGCAGAAGCCAGAAAGAAAGATTATTATAACTTTCCCCCAGCCCATATAACTAGACACAGGGACAGTTTTTTCCTGAACGCCATCACTCTGCTAAACCAATAATTCCCTCAACACTGTCCAACTATTTATTAAGTCTGCATTACTATTAGTATTGGTACCATTGGATAAAAGATAGAAATAAGCAATCAATCAATCAATAAGGAATGTATAATTTAGAAAAATAGTGACATATATACATAAGAACAAATAGGAGTATAAAATATGCACTGAAATAATAACTGAAATATAAGCTCTGTCAAAGTGGATTGTAACATACAGAGCACTCTCATTTTAAATATTTGTATTGTATTTTGTATTTTAATGTTTTAATTTTTCAATAAAGGTAATAAATATTAAAAAACCCTATTAGTATTACTATTAATTGTCCCGTCCTTCCTTTCACCCATCCCCTCCCACTTAAGACTGTATGACTGTAACCTTGTTGCTTGTATCCTAACGATTTTTACTGACTGTTTCCCAGTATGACTTGATTGCTTATTGTACCCTATGACTATCATTAAGTGTTGGACCTTATGATTCTTGATGAATGTATATTTTCTTTTTTATGTACACTGAGAGCATTTGCACCAAAATTCCTCGTGTGTCCAATCACACTTGGCCAATAAAATAATTCTATTCTATATCTTACCCCTTTAAAAACGTCTTTCTAAGGATTATTAACTTTCTGGTGCACCCCAAATACGGCTATATTCAATATTGTGCTGTAGATCCCCCAAAAATGACTCAAAACCCCTGGTCTGAGGGATCCCCAGATTTAAACCAAGCACCACAACCTATCTCCTTTTCTTCAAGCCTTCCTGTAAAAAAATACGCATGCATTTCCTTTGCAGAAAGCCAGGAAAAAGCAGTTCAGGAAAATAATAATAATTGAGGTTTACCCACACTCTTGGATGCCCGATACTCACCCGCCACCGTCAGCTCCCAAAGCCCTAAAGCCGGAAATCCTGACCCCTGAATATGCCGGCGATTGGTTCATCTTGGTTAAATAATCTCAGAGAGATGGGAAGGGATGAGGAAGGGTATTGGCAAAGGGAAGAGGAAAAAAAATTGGGGGGTTGATTCAGGTCATGGGCTCAAACCTATCGCCTTGAGGTCTCATCTTAGCCTTAGAAGCATTCGGGGGTCTTTAAGACGCCTTCCTTTTCTTGTGGGGGTGCAATTTAGGGCCCACCCAGGACGCCCGAAGAGACCCGACGTTGTCACACCAAGACGGACGGGGGAAAAAAAAGAGAGTCAACGCAGCAGCGACCGAGAACTGGATCAACCAGCATGCCTAAGAGGATAGCTTCAACTTAGAGATTAGATTCATTACCTGATATATTAATAGCTCTGGCTTTTCAAAGAGAACGGCAGCTCGGCCTGAAGTCCCTTATGGTGCACAACAACAAAAAAGCAAAACAAAAAAACATAAAACCAAACACCCAGGGATAGAGACACTGTGGTTGCATCGGGCATTTAGACCAGGTCTTAAGGCCGGAGGGGAAGGATACGGGGAAGGAAGGGGTGGCATTGCAAAAAGACTGTGCGGTTCTCCGTCGACCTCCTTTCCCCGGTGTTTGCAAGTCTCTGGGCCAGAAGAGATAGGATGGGGTCAGACAGATGTTCAGACTGGATTTGGCATTTTTCTGCAGCAGCTCTGCAGTCCTGCCCTGGGACCCTGGGAGAGGCAGAGGCGGAGGCTTGGTGGCATCTAAAGGCATCGTGGCAGGAGGTAATCTCTTCCAGCGTCAAGCGTCCGTTTGCAATCGACCGATGGCGACAGCACTTAAGACTTATATACCGCTTCACAGGGCTTTTACAGCCCCTCTCTAAGCGGTTTACAGAGTCGGTTATGGGAGCCTCATGTAACCTCATTTTACCAACCTCGGAAGGATGGAGGGCTGAGTCAACCTTGAGCCGGTCAGGATCAAACTTGTGGCAGTGAGCAGAGTTAGCCTGCAATGCTGCATTTAGATAGATGGATGGATGGATGGATGGATGGATAGATGGATGGGTTAGGGAGAGGGGGAGGAGGAGGAGGAGAGGGGAGAAGAGAACAACAGCAATAGCTATTGTTAGATGGATGGATGGATAGATAGATGATGGATGGATGGATAGATGATACTGTAGATGGTAAATAGATAGATAGATAGATAGATAGATAGATAGATAGATAGATAGATAGATAGATAGATAAGAAAGAGAGAGGGGGATGGATGGATGAGTGGGTTAGGGTTAGGGAGGGGGGAGAGAGAGAGAACAATAGCAATAGCTATTGTTAGATAGAAGAGAGACAGACAGACAGACAGACAATAGCACTTTAAACTTCCATACCGCTTCACAGTGCTTTCACAGCCCTCTCTAAGCGATTTACAGAGTCACTCTTACCCCCAGCAATCTGCGTCCTCATTTTACCCACCTCGGAAGGACAGTAGGCTGAGTCAACCTTGATCCTGGCAGGATTTGAACTGCCAACCTGCAGGCAACCTGCAGGCGGCCAGCAGAATTTAGCCTCCGGTACTGCAATCTAACCACTGCATCACCACGGCTCTTATGGTGATTTTGGTGATGCGATGGTGATTTTATCAACGCCTACAGTTGTTGCAGGGGTGGTTTTTTGGGGATTGCAGGTTCTCTGGATTTGGGGTAAGTGGCAAAAAAAAAAAAGTCTATATTTCATTTAATCTGTGGAAGGATCAAACTGCCCCCTAGTGGCAGATATGGACAGTCCTTGATACTGTATACCAAAAGAGTTTTAACTACAGTTCATTTTGTGACTGTTCTAAGTTACGACAATGGCATTGGAAAAAAGCAGCTTATGACCGTTTTTCACACTTACGACCGTTTCAGCATCCCTAGGGTCACGTGATCAACACTCATCCGCTGGGCAACTGACTCCTCTTTATGACGGTGCCATCTTTGCATTCTCCTTCTACGGCCGTTCTATCTCTATTTGCAGGTCTGTGTATATTGTGATTTTTCTCCAGTTCCTTCTCTTCTTTTCTGCTCTCTCCAGGTGCTGACACCTCCGTTATCCTGACTTTTTTTTTGCCTTGCTTATTGACGATTGTTGTGTGTATTATGTGGCAGGGGCCTGTGTGTTTCGATTCTAAATCCCAATCTAGCTTCTTCACTTTCTACGACGGTCTCTATTTTCTGAATCCCACCCCGTTTTTTGCCTGCAGGCAAAATGTTATTTCTTGCAAATCCACAAAATGCACCATGGTTGCTACTCTGTCACGCTGTTGTTTGCAGTCATGGTTAAGTTTTATTGAGCACTTTATTTATTATCGAAGTTAATTATTACTTTAATATTTTAAAGTGTTTTAAGCTTTAATACTTTAAAGTTAATTATTACTTTAATTACTTGGTTACGGAAGTTAGCCCTTCGTTACAGGTAGTCCTGAAGGGAGGTACTAATACTACTCTATAAAGCCTTAGTAAGGCCACACCTAGAGTACAGCATCCAGTTTTGGTCACCACACTACAAAAAAATATGTTATTTATTTAGAATTGTGTAATTTCAGGTGTAGCTTACCAAAATCATTGTTGACAAGTTTAAGACTTCTGAACTTCAACTCCCAGAATTCCTGAGCTAACATGACTGGAGAAGGAATTCTGGGAGTTGAGGTCCACAAATCTTAAAGCTGTCAAGTTTGAAGACCCCTGGTCTAGTCTAATGAAAAGAAGGACTAGGGTGACATATGATAGCAGGGTTCCGATATCTCAGGGGCTGCCACAAAGAAGAGGGAATCAAAGCACCTTCTGAAGGCAGGACAAGAAGCAAAGGGTGGAAACTAATCAAGGAGAGAAGCAACCTAGAACTAAGGAGACATTTCCTCACAGTGAGAACAATAAATCAGTGGAACAACTGGCCTCCAGAAGTTGTGAATGCTCCAACACTGGAAGTTTTTAAGATGATATTGGATAACCATTTGTCTGAAGTGGTATATAGGGTTTCCTGCCTAAGCAGGGGGTTGGACTAGAAGACCTCCAAGGTCCCTTCCAACTCTGTTTTCTATTCTATTCTATTCTATTCTATTCTATTCTATTCTATTCTATTCTATTCTATTCTGTTCTGTTCTGTTCTGTTCTGTTCTGTTCTGTTCTGTTCTATTCTTCTATTCTATTCTATTCTATTCTATTCTATTCTATTCTATTCTAATTATTTCTATTTCTATTTCATATTCTTATTTCTCTACTCTACTCTACTCTACTCTACTCTACTCTACTCTACTCTACTCTACTCTACTCTACTCTACTCTACCCTACCCTACCCTACCCTACCCTACTCCTTATTCCATTCCATTCCATTCCATTCTATTCTGGATTCACCTTTGCTTTCTAATCAGTGTGTCAGCTTTGGAAGCCATATTAGCACCAGAAGCTTCCACGCTCCCACATTCTTGAGCCTGGGAAGATGGGAGGGGAGAATTGCATGGGGCATCTGTGGTTAGACATAATAGCATTCTTCTTTAGAGTCAAGGTCATGTTGTTTCCGCACCTGGCTGAGGAGGAATAGAGGGGGTGTCTCAGGTTGGGACGGATGGTGATTGGGGCATGTGATGCGGTGATGGGTGCAGGGGGTGGATTTGTAATTTTTTTTACTTATTGGAGGGAAACACGGAACTTTCAGATTCGGGATTTCCCAGGTGTGCCAGTTTACTACTAGTCTAATAAAAGGGAAATTTGAGAAGATGTCTGTCTCGGAGTTATTTATTGGAGTGGAGGTTTTCTGGAATGCTGACACAGTGGAAGGATTAAACTGCCCCCTAGCGGCAGATATGAGCAGCCCCTGATACAGTACCACAGATGGCTACTACAGCAGGGGACGACAACCTTTTGGACCTCAGGGACCACCAAACTCATAATTTTCAATCCCGTGGACCAGAGACCCTGGGAAAATCCCCCCAAAAGGCTTCAGGAAAATTCCCCACCCCATTTTTCTTACCGATCGATCATTATTTGGAATCGCAGGATACCATTTCCAGCTCCGTTCTCAGGGGGAGAGAGAGAGAGAAAAGAGAGACTTTTGGCTTCATGCAAGGAAAGCAGCAGAAGCAGCAGAAGTCTTCCTTTCTCTCCCGCAAACTCCGCCAGGAATGAGTCTTTGTGAGATTTGTCATGCCGGCGCAGCCTCTTGGAGCAGGAGGCCTTGCCGGGTCCCAAAGACTCATTTCTGGCGGAGTTTGGGGGAGAGAAAGGAAGACTTTTGCTGCTTTCCTTGCGTGCTGCCAAAAGCAGAAGAAGAAAGAAGCGGAAAGAAGCAGCCCGGTGGCCAAGCGAGACACGTGGGGCGAGTGGGGCAAGTTCCCCCCCTCCGCTCTTCCCCCCCTACCCTCACTACCTGTATTGTTTGCAATGCAAGCAACGCAAGCCTTGTGTTCCTGCGCAGCCTGGATAAATTGCTTTGGGGGGGGACATTTCTCTGCGGACCACCAGTGGTCCCCGGCCCACTGGCTGTCAACCACTGGTCTACTATACAGGTAGTCCTCGACTTACAAGAGTTTGTTTAGTGACCGTTCAAAGTTACAACGGGACTGGAAAAAAAAGGTGACTTATGACCGTTCTTCACACTTGCAACACGGCAGCATCCCTGTGATCACAGTTCAGACGCTTGGCAACTGGCTCGTGTTTACGACGTTCGCCGTGTCCCGGGGGTCACATCCAACTTTCTGACGAGCACAGTCAACGGAGGAAGCCGGATTCCACTTTAACGACTGTGTTGCGGACTGAAGAATGGCAGCGATTCGCTTAACCACCATGGCAAGGAAGATCGTAAAAGGGGGGCCAAATTCACTTAACAAATGTCTCGCTCAGCAAGAGAAATGTCGGGCTCGATTGTGGTCGTAAGTTGAGGACCCCCTGCCATGATGTGTGAGAAAGGCCTAGAGCAGGGGTGTCAAACTGGATTTCATTGAGGGCTGAATCGGGGTTGTGTTTGACCTCGGAGGGCTGGGGTGACATGACATAGGACTCGTGTTGGGAGGACCTGTGATGGCCAAGTGTTAAGGCAGGACTTCCCCAAGATAGATGGATGGGAATAGAGAGATGCAGTTTTTCCCTCTCATAATAACCTTCCTTCCTTCCCTTCTTTTTCCTCCATTCTCCATTCTTTCTTCTTCCTTCCCCCTTTCCTTCTTTCTCCTTCCTTCCTTCCCTCCTTCCCTTTTTCTTTCCCTCTTCATTCTCCATTCTTCTTCCTTCCCCTCTTTCATTCTTTCTCCTTCCTTCCTCTCTTCCTTTCCTTTCTTCCTTCCCTTTTTTCTTCCCTCTTCATT